CATAGTGTTTCATGTCGCGGCCACCGTGAGATTCAACGAACCGCTGGAGGTGGCTGTCAATATGAACACGAAAGGCACTGCTCGTATAATCAAACTATGCAAAGAGTTGAAGCACGTAATTAGCATCATCCACATCAGTACAGCTTACAGTAATACAAATCTGTCAGAGATCGACGAAAAAGTTTACACGTAAGGACAAGCTATATGCGAGTTTAGTTTCTCAGTTTTCCTATGCATAAAAATCCTTTAGCTCTTGTTAGTAATGATTACAATGTGATGAGATATGTTCACTTGTCACTAATGATTCTGCAGCACCAGCTTAGAACCCTCTGCAGTGATCGACATGTGCGAGAAACAAGACAGAAACTCGATCAAACAACTAGAGGAAAGAATTTTGAAAGTGCATCCGAACACGTACACCTTCACTAAAAACCTAGCGGAGCAGATTGTAGCCAGCAATAGTAACGGTTTGCCAGTTGCTATAGTACGTCCAAGTATAATTGGTGCCTCGCTAGAAGAACCGTGCCCTGGTTGGGTGGACAACATATATGGACTGACGAGTACTTTTTATATACATAATTATTATATTTTTACCCATTATTATCTTTTTTTTCAATATATAAGTTGATATATTTTGCAGTAACAATTATTCAATGCTTTTTATATTTCACTTACTACACCGAGCAATTAATTATACTCAATGAATTGTGCAAACTCTTAATTCTGCTAATATAAGAAAGTCAAAATAAACAATTACGATTATTCTTCTTACATCTCTTTGTCATTAAAATATTTCCGATAATCGAGAATCATGAATAATTTCTAAGTCAATTTAATTATATTAATTACAGGCGTCTTTCTACAAATTGGCAAAGGTACTGCAAAAGCGATAGTAGGCAAGAAAAATGCAAAATTGGACGTAGTGCCTGTTGATTTCGTAGTCGACATAATAATGTGTGCGGCATGGCATATAACACTGCAGCATGATAATAAAGTTAAAGTATACAACTGCACAAGTAACGCATATCCCTTCAGGTAATATTTATTACGAAATTTTTTCAATTAATATTATTCAGTTGTTTGATTTAAGATTCAGTTATCACAAAGCTTTATTTTTATATCGCTGTACTCATTAAAATACGAGAGACTAAAAATTTTGACAAAACTTTAACAAAAAGTTATATTATTTTCTGAGTATGAGGATTCGTTCTAACAAAATGTAGAAATATAATTAATTGTAGAAATATATTGTACATCTTTTCTTAAATATAATTCACAAAAGAGTCAGTTGGTTGCACTTACATTAAATATTTAGTGCTCGCATTCATTTTTGTGCTTGCATCAGGAAAATAGAAATATAACTCTAACAATAATAGTCTCTATTTTAAATACAATTTAATTAACTTTCTAAATATTTCATTTTTCAAGATGGGGTCAAATGAAAGATATGATCGTACAATGTAGCATTGAAACGCCACTAAACGATATGTTGTGGTATCCGTGTTGTAAAATAGTAGGTAATAAATTTGTTTACAACGTTTTGAATATACTTCTACACATATTGCCGGCGTTTGTGATAGATATCTTTTTAAAACTCGTAGGTAGTAAACCAATGTGAGTATTATTTATTGAACAAGAACTAGATGCATATTTATGATAATCTCTGATTTATTTATAATAATAATA